TCTTTTTTAATTATTCAACTCAAAATGGAGAGACAAATTAATATGCTTTTTTCATCAAAACTCTCTATTATAGCTCTCCTGTTTGTTTTGCATCAGAAGCAGCAAGATCTATTAAATTCAATTGTAATACTTGTATCACAGCACTATCCGAGTCTTCTCTACTTTTAATTGTCTGAACAGAAAATTTATATTAGAATGTTATATTTAACAAAATCCTGAATTTCTTGTCCAATGGTAACGTTCTTGATGTTTTGAATGTCTTTCTGACAAACAGAAATTCTCACTATTTTTTTATTTCGTCGAACACATTTATGCAAAATATTTCTGGGATGTCGAATGATGACTCTACTTTGCATTCATAAGATTCTAGCGTTGTTACCATCTAAAAGAATTAGAGCTTCTGTTCAACAAACTTCAACCAATAAAAAAACTATATTCGAGATACGCATCCTTATTAAATGTAGATCGTTACTTGTACGCATCGCTGTTGTCTCGCTCTTCTACTTGATCTCTATCGATATTCAATCTCTGCATCTATTTTAAAAGCTCAATCTGCTGACGTGCTAGATAAAGTTCACGCTCTGTCAAAATCTTCTCTCTTCTAACTGACGCATTTATTCAATCTCGCTCACGTTGCTTGTTGAATTCTTCTCCATCCTCGTAGACTTCTCGATTCGTACATGTTCTCATTCATTCGCCAGATTCGCAGTCCTCTATCGATTTTTTCTGAAGCTTCGCCAGAGAGAACTCATGTGTAGTCTGCGTTACGAAACTTATCATTGCCTCGTAATTAACTCGTACTCGAAAGAATTTTTTTTTTTTTTTTCGAATGACACATTTCTTCGACGCAAGCTCTTTGACATTTCACTTTTTCAATGTTGTGTCCTCATTACTTAATATCTAATGTCTCATAGTGTAACTCTGTATCGATGAAATCCTTAGACGAGATGTCAATTTTTATAGATAAATACAATACAGAAGATAAATACAAAAGCTTAGCGTACGTGGTTTAAAATAAATAAAGTCTATTAATTTAAGAAAATAATGAAAAATATGGCGATGACAAAATATGTTAAGATTTTCACTAGAGTTGCACGCTATTACAACTCGCTACTTGCTATAATACTCTCAAGATTTATACTCTCACGACTTGCTACTCTATGTATTGCTACTCTGTGTCTGCACTCTCTCATAACTGTACGAAGATGATTTTAAAAAAAATCCTAACTCACGATGAAGGAAACGACACTGAATGTAATTAAGATTAGTACGAGTCATATTAAAATACACATCCAGGGGAAAGATTCTCAACTAAACTGGTGATTTATACAAATGCAAGAAATCGTGTTGTACATTCATATATGTGTTCATATAAATGCAACCGAGAAATTCCACGGAATTGTAGGAACTTGACTTTTTACGAATGTATTCTGTTACACATAGAATTAGAATCATACAGTAGTCACTTTATTCACAAAAGACTGCCGACTGTACTGTAAATTTTTTTTTGAATTTAATGATCATTCCCGCACGAGACTCGAAGACTCTGTGAAAATAGCTCAATCAACTGATACGAAGATGTGTAAACTATACAATTCACTATGAGATTCTAAGCAGAAAGTAGTAACTACGAATGAAATAATAAACTCACAATGAGATCGATGAGAAGCATGTATTGAGTGATTAAAAGTTCAGCCAAGAAGAAAGCAAGCGTGGCTGCCAATCTGTCCGAAGTTTGACGAGTAATAGCTTAGTAGTAATGAAGTGGGTTGATACATCAATTGTGATCGACTTAATTTTCAACCAGCAAAAATGGTGTGGCGTAAAGTTCAGGTCCGAAATACTAACTAATATATATTCGCATGCAGGCTAACAAATCTCTATATAAAAATCCTGAATCTCGCAAACAGCTATATATATTTAAATTTTTTCAATATGTTGTAAAATATATTTTAGAATTATTTTTTATTTTTTTATAATACGTATGAACAAATTTCGTATCGAAAGTAACGAAAAACAGATTTAGGATTCCTGAATTGCATCATTGGCACTATTTTGAAAATACTTCTTTCCAACCAACATCACAAACCATAGTATAATTTAAAAAATATTTTAAACAAACATTTATTGATATATAATCTTGTCTAAATTATTAAAAGTTAAATTATTTACTTTTTATATTATAATAACATTTAACTCAAATATATAAATTAATTTCATTTTAATTTTACATTTTACACTTGATATTTTTGTTTGTTCAGTACTATTCGATTTAGTTCATAATTTCAAAATTAAAGGTATTATTTGCATATGATTAGTTAAATTAATTCAGAAAACACGGTAAGTAGATTATGAAATAAAACAATTTGACTAATTTATTTAAAAAAATTGTTTATAAAGTTAACGAAATAGTGATTAAACGTTCGTGAAATATATCGTGTTGTATGTGATTGGAAAGGAATTTATTTTCAATTTTTATGTCGAATTTCATTGCGATATTTTTTACGATTCAAAAATCATTCACAAATGTCGTGTGAATCCTCAATGGTGCAACAGCCGAATTATCATAATTAATTAGCTTCAATATCGTTGCATCAGCATATCATCCACCGTGCATTTATTTAAACTATAACCTTGTTCTCCCGTGTGTTCGTTTAATTGCCGGAATTAATAAATAATAATTGAAGCATTACGTGAGAATAGAAACCAACGGAACACGAATGCACGTGGTCGCGAAAATTTAGTTTCGCTATCATTGCATCAATCGAAAAATATAATAGACGATCAGACTTGACCCGAGGCAACTGCGTCAAGCTGTTTCACATTTCACGAATCTTGGTCTTTTTACGATTATTGCTTGCATCCTTAAAATGGACAAGCGCGTTGTGCATTGATTGCAGACAAACTGGGCCGTTGAATGATTTAACTTCGAGCAACGATATAATTATATAAATGTAAATACATCGTATAAATATATATAAATATTAAGAAAGATAGATATATTATTAATAACAAATAAAAAAATACGAATTTAATTTACAAATTTTTCTTATCAATACGCTGAATGCCACGAGGGTCACCGGCGATGCCAAGATTAGTAGAAACACATAAGTCATGTTCGAATGAACGTCAGTATTTCTAAATCTTTCAATATTATCTTCGTTACAGTGGTATGAAGAAATTAATGCCGTGTATATAATAAAAAAATTAGTTTTAATATTTACGCATATAATATGTATGTATATAATATTGTTTGCGCATATTGCGATACATCATATTAAAGTATTGCAAACAAAGAATAAAGGTGAATAAGCAAAGATTTCACAACATGCCACGACTTCTTTGGTAAAAATCTAATTGTCTTATCTGAATTTTTTTATACCATATCATTCAACGTAGTTTTTCTCTATGGGCTTCTACGCGAAGAAATACAACTCTCAATTTCACTGTCAATTTCAATCGAAGAATTAAATATTGTGGGAAATGAATGAAAATCAAACAAGCGCATTCCAATAAGGATTAATCCGCTGAATGTGCTCCTCGATTTATCTATTGCAAATCATATTTCCACTATTATATAAATATAGTAGATTCATGTTGGTGTCCTGGGCCAGCCAACGTGGCATTCAACGTGTTCAAAAAATACGAATTTAATTTTTAAACAAGAACGCACGACTTTCGTTCGGTTCATTGATATAAATTTTTTGCAAATTGGCGCACGAAGCATCTAGCATCGAATCATTGACAACATACCTTATTGGCAGCATGTGGATAAATATTTTTCAAGTCGGCAATCATCATCTCGATCAGCTCTTTCGAAGTGTAATCTTTGGAGTTTTTTTCCCATCGATTTTCCATCCAAAAATTCCATCGCATGGTGGGCATTCTGTAATTCAACAATTGCTCGTTAGCTAGTCGCGAGATAATTCTAAATCAACAGAATGAATCAACAGATCGTCAATTAGAAATTAGAAGTAGGAAAGTTAGTTTACTTTTACGAGGTACATGGATCGTCTATACGAATCAATTTTGGAGAGCATAAACTTCATAGAATGACTTAGTAGTTAAAGTTTTATTATAACTTTTCAAAAAAACTCTTGAGAAAACAGACAGAGTCTAACCTTTGCCGTAACCGCAGCGAGAGAATTCAGTCCGATCGCCTGATCAAATTGTCCCTGTTTCGGAATATAACGAAATTAAAAATTTCAAAATTATCGAGCTCAGCACTGGCTCGACAAAAAAAAAAACAAAATTCGTTCTCTGCGAAAGATCTTCAACGAGTCGCGATATTATTCGTATGCTGATACTGGATAATAATAATCGGCACGTTCGTTTCACGAGAATTCAAGTATAGAATATAAGTACAGCGGTTTCGATCACCATGTCGATTACAACACTCTTACCTCGACGATCTGATTGGAAATGAAGTGTGACGAGCACGTCGGCTGAAAAGGGGGATTTCTCTTACTCGATGATTAACCAATCCGCGTTAGTTGTTCATTATTTATGACCGTTGATGATCTTGAAGCTGTTATGATCGCTGTGACAATACAGGTGTGTTCGTTTGTTCGGAGAAGCACTCAGTAAAGTTCTTCTTCTGTTTACAGAGAATGAACTTTCGATTCCTTAAAGTCGTTTCCCTAGATGGAAAAAAAATCATAATACCTGTCAGGAGCGTAACATCACAACTCAAATGAAAGGCTGATGAAAGATGAAAATGTAGTGATTGAAGGTAGTTGGAAATTCATTTTGCAGAGATAGTTCAAATCACTTCGAATTATATATCTTTAACGTTAAGATGTTAAAGGGATTGAAGTACATATGAATAGCTCAATCATATTCGAACAATTTACATAAATTTTACGAAGCATCGGCTATTTATTAGTATTAGAACATGAGCGATACAGGTGTATTGTTTATCACAGATTAAATTTATCTCATCGTAAAATGCATCTGCATAGAAAATTAAGAGTGAGGGAACTGAAATAAGAGAAGCTTAAAAGTTTATTAATATTAAACGAAAGTGTATTATAATTTCAAAACTATAATAATTACAACACTAACGAACCAATCTAAAAATGTGTATAAAAATTTATTGCAAGCATATATGTAAATACTAAAAAGTGAACATTACATCATGAATAACCATCTTAAATATACGTAAAGTATAAACCCATTGAAAATTGAGGATTATTAATAATTAAAGAAGAAAAGATATTCGTTAGAAATAATGTAACCATAAGCCTAATCTAATATTAATATAATTTGATATAATTAATACAATATAACTTGATATAAAAATGAAATCGAATCATATTAATATTAATTAATATTAATATAATTTGATATAAAAATCAATACACATAAGATAGCCACTGAAAAACTGAATAATATTAAACAAAACTAACTTTTACACGTGTCCTTTTATTATTTTATTTAGAAATATAATTAGTGGATTTTTTTTCAATATGACGTGTGAAAAACAACATCCCTCAAATGAACACCATTTTCCAGCTCACAAATACGAAAGATTGAAAGCGAACAAGTTATGACCTTTTCAAACCCTTCAGTTCTTCAGTATAACATTCATATCTATTCAATGTCAAAATGAGGCTCGTGCTTAATAGTTTTCAATCTTATTCCTCTTTCCAACCAATCAATAGTAACAATTCTAAATTTTTCGATCGTTGTAGCTCTCCTCCTTCGCTCAAATTATTCTCTTTGACGAGTGGCCGAATATATCACGCAGTGATATTTTCCTTAAATTGAGATACCTCGGATCCCGCTAAATGTTTAATTGGACGTAAAATTGTATCCGAAAAATCGTCATTCAATTCTCGTCATCTACATCAAGCTCGTTTGATTCAGCGTTGAATTTCTGTTTCTTCCATCGATACGACGATTACCACGTCAACTCGCATCATTGTAAGACGTATTGATTCTAATAATGCCATTACACCACGATAATGACTCCTCTCGATTCGCCGATCAATTTACTAATTGTATTAATAGCCACGAACGACCGTTTATTGGCAGGTGTCGTGAGATCGTTACCCGGAAACAATCGTCCGGAAATTCACCGTGACTTCCGTTTTAATACTCTCGAGATTGATATAACTTTCCACGCGTTTCTTAAGATGTATGTAATATATAAATCCCTTCGTGAATCGTAAGTATTCGTGAAAGAGGAAAGTAGAAATGTTTTTCATGACAAACAACGACAACGGTTTTTATATTTGTTCCATGTTTGTTTTATATTCGAGAAAAGAAAGAATTGCAGGGTCGGATCAGGTCGAATTCTCGAATATACAGGTCTAAAATCGAAATTTCAAATATCCGATACTCGGTTCGAATTGTCGGAATTCTCGGGATTTTTAGCTGAGCTTTGTTGAAAGTACCTAATTTTCTTGAGGACTTACGAATTCAATAGACACGTGATATGTCTAAATTTCATCAACATAATAATTACGGA